ACAAAATAGACAGACCACTAGCCAGATTGATTAAAAAGAAAAGAGAGAACAACCAAATAGATGCAATAAAAAATGATAAAGGGGAAATCACCACAGATTCCACAGAAATTCAAACCATCATCAGAGAATATTACAAACAACTCTATGCACATAAACTAGTAAACCTGGAAGAAATGGATAAATTCCTGGACTCCTGTGTCCTCCCAAGCCTAAACCAGGAGGAAGCTGAAACTATGAATAGACCAATAACAAGGTCAGAAGTCGAGGCAGCAATTAAGAGCCTACCACACAAAAAAAGCCCAGGTCCAGACGGGTTCACAGCCGAATTCTACCAGACACACAAGGAGGAGCTGGTACCATTTCTTCTGAAACTATTCCAAATAATCCAAAAAGAAGGAATCCTACCCAAATCATTCTACGAGACCAATATCATCCTGATACCAGAATCCGGCAGAGACCCAACAAGAAAAGAAAACTTCAGGCCAATATCCATGATGAACATAGATGCAAAAATCTTCAATAAAATATTGGCAAGCCGATTGCAACAGCAAATCAAAAAACTTATTCATCATGATCAAGTAGGATTCATCCCGGGGATGCAAGGCTGGTTCAACACACGCAAGTCTGTCAACGTAATTCACCACATAAACAGAACCAAAAACAAAAACCACATGATTATCTCAATTGATGCAGAGAAGGCATTTGACAAAATTCAACAGCCCTTTATGCTAAAAACCCTCAATAAACTCGGTATCGATGGAACGTATCTCAAAGCAATAAAAGCTATTTATGAAAAACCAACAGCCAACATCATACTGAATGGGCAAAAACTGGAAGCATTCCCTTTGAAATCCGGCACTAGACAAGGATGCCCTCTGTCACCACTCCTATTCAGTATAGTACTGGAAGTTCTAGCCACAGCAATCAGGCAAGAAAAAGAAATAAAGGGTATTCAAATAGGAAAGATGGAAGCCAAATTGTCTCTATTTGCAGACGACATGATAATATACCTAGAAGACCCCATCGCTTCAGCCCAAAAACTCCTGAAACTGATAAGCAACTTCAGCAAAGTCTCAGGATATAAAATCAATGTGCAAAAATCACAAGCATTCGTCTACACCAATAACAGACTTAAAGAAAGCCAAATCAAGAATGAACTGCCATTCACAATTGCTACAAAAAGAATAAAATACCTTGGAATACAACTCACAAGGAACGTAAGGGACCTCTTCAGGGAAAACTACAAACCACTGCTCAACGAAATCAGAGAGGACACAAACAGATGGAGAAACATTCCATGCTCATGGTTAGGAAGAATTAATATCGTGAAAATGGCAATACTGCCCAAAGTAATTTACAGAATCAACGCTATCCCCATCAAGCTACCATTGACTTTCTTCACAGAACTGGAAAAAACCACCTTGAACTTCATATGAAACCAAAAGAGAGCCCGCATAGCCAAGTCAATTCTAAGCAAAAAGAACACAGTGGGGGCCATCACACTACTGGATTTCAAACTATACTATAAGGCTACAGTAATCAAAACAGCATGGTACTGGTACCAAAACAGAGATATAGATCAATGGAACAGAACAGAGGCATCAGAGGCAACACAACATAGCTACAACCGTACAATCTTTGATAAACCTGACAAAAACAAGCAATGGGGAAAGGATTCCCTGTTCAACAAATGGTGTTGGGAAAACTGGCTAGCCATGTGCAGAAAGCAGAAACTGGACCCCTTCCTGACACCTTACACCAAAATTAACTCCAGATGGATTAAAGACTTAAACATAAGACCCGGCACCATAAAAACCCTAGAAGGAAATCTAGGCAAAACCATCCAGGACATAGGAGAAGGCAAGGACTTCATGAACAAAATACCAAAAGCATTGGCAACAAAAGCCAAAATAGACAAATGGGACCTAATGAAACTCCACAGCTTCTGCACAGCAAAAGAAACAGTCTCTAGTGTGAATCGGCAACCAACAGAATGGGAAAAAATTTTTGCAGTTTACCCATCTGACAAAGGGCTGATATCCAGAATTTACAAAGAACTCAAACAGATTTACAGGAAAAAAACAAACAAGCCCATTCAAAAGTGGGCAAAGGATATGAACAGACACTTTACGAAAGAAGACATATATGAGGCCAACAATCATATGAAAAAATGCTCATCGTCACTGGTCATCAGAGAGATGCAAATCAAAACCACATTGAGATACCATCTCATGCCAGTTAGAATGGCGATCATTAAAAAATCTGGAGACAACAGATGCTGGAGAGGATGTGGAGAAAAAGGAACACGTTTACACTGTTGGTGGGAGTGTAAATTAGTCCAACCATTGTGGAAGATGGTGTGGCGATTCCTCAAGGCCTTAGAAATAGAAATCCCATTTGACCCAGCAATCCCATTACTGGGTATATATCCAAAGGACTATAAATCGTTCTACTACAAGGACACATGCACACGAATGTTCATTGTAGCAGTGTTTACAATAGCAAAGACCTGGAATCAACCCACATGCCCATCGATGATAGACTGGATTGGGAAAATGTGGCACATATACACCATGGAATATTATGCAGCAATCAGAAATGATGAGTTCGTGTCGTTTGTAGGGACATGGATGAATCTGGAGAACATCATTCTCAGCAAACTGACACAAGAACAGAAAATGAAACACCGCATATTCTCACTCATAGGCGGGTGATGAAAAATGAGAACACATGGACACAGAGAGGGGAGTACTAAACACTGGGGTCTATAGGGGGAAAAGGGGAGGGCCAGTGGGAGGCGGAGGTGGGGAGGGATAGCCTGGGGAGAAATGCCAAATGTGGGTGAAGGGGAGAAAGCAAACAAAACACACTGCCCTGTGTGTACCTATGCAACTGTATTGCATGCTCTGCACATGTACCCCAAAACCTAAAATGCAATAAAAAAAAATGGGAAAGAAAAAAAAAAATGATGAGTTCATTGTCCTTTGTAGGAACATGGTTGAATCTAGAAACCATCATTCTCAGCAAACTGACACAAGAACAGAAACTCAAACACCGCATGTTCTGATTCATAGGCAGGTGTTGAACAATGAGAACACATGGACACAGGGAGGGGAGCATCACACACTTGGGTCTATTGGGGGGGTCTAAGGGAGGGCAGCAGGGGGTGGGCAGGTTGGGGAGGGACAACATGGGAAGCAATGCCAGATATAGGTGACTGGGTGATGGAGGCAACAAACCACATTGCCATGTAACTACCTATGCAACAACCCTGCATAGTCTGCACATGTACCCCAGAACCTAAAGTACAATAAAAAATTGCATATAAAAAAATTTACTACTCAACTAAGTGCTCCTATACCACAGTATGTAGAGGTGTCTCTCAAATGACGTTTCCAGTAGGTGAGTTTATGCTAGTCTCTCAGAGAGGCTTGCATACTGTGAGGGTGAACCTCTGGGTTCTAGTCATTTCTTCATCCACACTCTCTAAAACACAATGTGCATGTTGAAAGCATGTTTGTGGGACGAATGAATAATCACATGAAATAAGCGATCTGGTACTTCCAGTTTTGGTGATGGGGGTCCATTTGTTCCCATATAACATGAGTGTGGTAGTACCTGCCCTAAAGACCTGTGGACCCAACACTGAGCAGAGGGGATGGGGTAGCCTTTTGCTGGCTCCGTCTTTATCTGTGAAGTCTTCAGCAGGTAACACTGTTAGGGACAACCTCTCTCATAAAGCTGAGTTTGCCAGAAGTGAGAGAAGACATGGAGTGCTAGGCAATGCAATTTGTCAGAGGCCAGGCATTCCCTGTTTTAATCCTACTCTTTTGCTAGCTGGATGTGGAATGGATTCACATCCTTCAATCTCTTTATAATGTCCCTATGCCCTCTCTGGACCTGAATTTCCAAAAATAAAACTGCATATTACAAATGTGGGACTAGTTCAGAGATTTCTCTAACTTTTTATCATAAGGCTCTATTGTACAGTTGTTCTCCCTTACTACTATGTTTTGAGAATCTCTGTTTTATTATTATTATTATTAATATTATTATCTGGAGATGGAGTTTTGCTCTTTTTGCCCAGACTGGAGAGCAATGGCGCAATCTTGGCTGACTGCAACCTCCACCTCCTGGGTTCAAGCGATTCTCCTGCCTTAGCCTCCTGAGTAGCTGAGGCTTCAGGCACCATGTCTGGCTAATTTTTGTATTTTTAGTAGAGATCGAGTTTTGCCATGTTAGCTGGGCTGGTCTCAAACTCCTAACTTCAGGTGATCTGCCCATCTTGGCCTCCAAAGTGCTGGGATTACAGGCGTAAGCAACTGTGCCAAGCCCTCTGTTTTATTAATTTAAAAAATAATCACTTGTATTTAGCAAGTGTAAAAGAATAGATAAGCAAGCACCCATCTATAACTCCCAACAAAATGCATTGATAACGTGAGATAAATAAGGCTAAACACCAAACACATATTCCCGGCCCAAAGCAAAGACAGTGGATGCTTTTTTCACCTGTGAGGCTGGTTCTAGACAAAGTCATGAATCCCTGCAGACTTTCTGAAATCGCAGAAACAGTCAATGAATTCCTTTCTGAACTTTGAGCCCCCAGGGCTACCCATTCTTCAAGTAGAAACAAATGGATTCAGAAGTTGCTAAGAATGTGATTTTGTCTTATGTGTGCAAGTCCTGCAGGAGGATTTGGTCCCCTGCTTGATGGGATTCAGGGGTTCCTAACTGGAAAATAGCACTCACAAAGGAGAAACAGCCCTTCACATCTCCAAAAATAAGAAAAAAAATCCAAGATGGCAGAAACATAACGAAGTTGAACAATGACAGTGTACTTTCAAATGGAACACATTGATGCAAAATAAAAACTTTAATGCTACAGACAACTTAGACAGAAGAGAAAATGAGAAACTAACAGACACTTGGTTGGTGCGGGAAATGCATGCTACAGATTCCCTTACAGGGCACGAAGCAAAGTTAATACCAGCTCGATACTTACAAGTAATAGGAGTAGGAATAAGCATTTCTTCTATATATTGATGGGCAGTCAGATGAAGGAAATGTCCAAAATGGGGGGAAAAGAAAAGACAAACAAACAAGAATTAGATTTTTAATGAAATCTTGATTCTTAGAAATGCACATATTATTTTAGTATCCCTAAGCTCAAGGAGATGCAAGTTCCTCTACTAACCATCTTCACTGAGAAGCAGATATTTCCAGTGGTAGAAGAAATAAGAAAGACCTCTTCTATAACAGGGAAACTCATGACCTCACACAAGAAGTTTCATGTTGGCTGCTGTAGTTGTTTCAGAGTTCTTCCTTTCGGTCAACGAAAACTAGCTTCCTTGTAATTATGATTTTTTCTTTTTTTGGTGTGGGCAGCGGGGGCAGGGTGGTGTGTGTTGGATCAGCTCTCTGTGGCTTCCTAGGACTAGTCTACCACTCTTCCATATGATAATGTCCTGTGATGTAAGCAATGCTACAATAACTTCTTCTGTCTCCTCTACTTCAGATAAACTCACATCAAAATCTATTTAGTAAGGTCATACCCAAAGCAAGGAGATCATATAGCCAGCACCCCAGATGGCTCCCCAGAGATCTGCACGTCCTAGTGTTCAGGACTTTATGCAGTGTCCTCCCACACTGAGTCAGGGCTGGCCCTGTGTGAATAGAATGTGGTAGGAATTATGTTCTGGAACTTTCCAAGCCAGGGAAACAAAGAAGCCTCTTAGCTCTGTCCATAACTGTCTCTTGCAACCCTCAGTTTCTATATAAGAAGCCCAACTTCCCTGAGGCTACCATGCTGGAGAGCTCCCAGAAGAGCCTCTGAGACTACATAAAGAGAAAGAAATGTCCCACCAGCCCCCAGCCATTCCACTTTCAGCCAACTAAGTTATCTCAGCTGAGACTCCTGACATTACAGAACAGAAATAAGTCATTTCCTTTAAGCTCTGCCCAAAGTGAAGGCTCATGAGAAAAATAAATAACCGTTGTTATTTAAGCCATTACATTTTGGCGGTAGTTTGTTATGTGGCAGTAGATGACCTGCACAAAATCCAGCCTTATCATGGAAGAGCATTGTACTGAGAGGGAGGAGTTCCAACCTTCAATCTAAACAGACTCTACCTTGAATAAACTCTCTGTGCCTTCATTTCTGCATCTGTCCCTTGGGCACATTAAACTAGATCAGTAATTTTCAAACTGTGTTCACAGAAGTCTGGGGGATCTATAGCAGCCCCTGTGTCATGAAGGAGGGTACTGAGCAGGTGAGGCTGCCAGCTCCCACCATCCACCAAAGCACCTCCATTTTTATCTACTTTATACATTGAAGTATCATTTAAGATATCATATGGCTGAGAATTCCATTCTCCAAAAGAAAGCTTGAAAAATCACTGCTTTCAATCTCTTTCTAATGTCCCTACTGGCTCCTGGCTTCCAAACAATCACAAAACTCAAATAAAATCATGATATTCCCTTTGTTATAACTTTTCATATGTTGTAAGAAAATAAATAGGAATGTTTTTATTTCACATCAGATTTAGCTATACCAACAATAAGTGATACATTTGTAGGTTGAGAAAAATGGCTAGATCATTCAGGCCTCCAAATATCCACCTGAGTAGACAAGAAATGATTCCTTTTTTTTGAATGATTTATTACTTGCAACCATTATCCCATTTCCTTGGTACAGGAAAATACAGTCTTTATAACTGTAGAGTGGGGGACATGTTGTCAGAGCCTAAAATTTTCCCACTTCAAGAAGAAAATACCCAAAGCTTGCAAGGTGGGGCCATCTCTAGTCTTTCTTTCATCAATTGGCAAAGCCCAGCCCTACACCCCTAGAAGGAAAGTGACTCTAAAAGATAAGAAGCCACAGAAGAAGGAAAGCCCCACACCTCCTTAAGAGGCTGAGCTGGGGAAAATGAGCCACAGTGAAACAAGATCTGGCCACAAAGAAAACTGTTCAATATCCCAGACTGAAAGAACAGTGGCCCTAGAGGATGAGAGGGTGAAGAACTGAGGACTACAATGAGTGGGAACTGGAAGCTCCCTCAGAAAGTCATCAAATCCCCCTCCACCAGCAATACAGGCTGGCACTATAAGGAGATCATTTCTCCACCTCACTGCTGGTAAGTTCAGTGCCTGAAAAGTGATTCCTCTGGGACATAAAACTCAGGGTTCATTTGATCAAGACTTATAGGGACACCTATGTTCTCTGCATTGTCAAAAACATGGAGCTGATAATCAAGAGGCCAGTGTTCTAATCTCAGATCTTTCAGTTGTTCATTGTGACATGTTGGGCAAGTAAATTCTTCGTCTTCATTTTAGACCTCTTTTTCCTGAAAAATCACTGCTTTCAATCTCTTTCCAATGTCCCTACTGGCTCCCGGCTTCCAAACAATCACAAAACTCAAATAAAATCATGATATTCCCTTTGTTATAACTTTTCATATGTTATAAGAAAATAAATAGGAATGTTTTTATTTCACATCAGATTTAGCTGTACCGACAATAAGTGATACATCCACCAAGGTGGATGCATAGATGATCGACAGCTCAACCAGCTTTGAGGAGTGGAAATACCACCACTTAACTAACTACACTTAACTAACTACATGGCTTTGAACAAGTCACTAAGCCCTGAGTCGCAGTTTCTCTGTCTCAAGGTTAGGGGCAATAATTATGTATTCCCAAGAATCACCATAGGTATTAGCATTATATTAGTCTAAATTATATGCAAATTACATATGATATGTAATATATAAAGAGTTTTACGTAAAGTATATTAATCTAAATTGATATTATATTATATTAATCTAAACATCTGGAATGTATTAGGGCTCCATAAAGGGTGGTTTATGTCTGCAACTCATCCACAGATATAAGGTTTAGTGCTTCTCAATCTGGTCATCAGGAACAAAGTGTTCACCTCTTTAGGTATAATAAAATAAGAACAGGCCGGGCGCAGTGACTCAAGCCTGTAATCCCAGCACTTTGGGAGGCTAAGGCAGACGGATCACGAGGTCAAGAGATCGAGACCATCCTGGCCAACATGGTGAAACCCTGTCTCTACTAAAAATACAAAAATTAGCTGGGCATGGTGGTGTGCGCCTGTAGTCCCAGCTACTTGGGAGGCTGAGGCAGGATAATTGCTTGAACCTGGGAGGTGGAGGTTGCAGTGAGCTGAGATTGTGCCACTGCACTTCAGCCTGGTGCCTGGCAACAGAGTGAGATTCTGTCTCAAAAAAAAAACAAAAACAAACAAACAAATACTTATACAGCAATTACTATGTTTCAGGTATTGTTCTCAGCTTTAGCACACATTAAGTCATGTATTCCTCACAGCTGCCCTAAAAGATAGGTATTATTGCCATTTCCACTATACTGATGGAGAAACTGAGGCAAACAAGGAGAAGTAACTTCAGATCACACAGCTGGTAACTGGATTTGATAGCAACGTGCTCTAAAGCTTATAGCTCATGTTCTTGACCTCAAGCCTGTACCGCTTTCAAGGAAGAATGAAAACAGATATATCTTGAGAAATCTGGTGAGTCAGGCATTGGGATGCCACATGCCTTATCTCTTTCAATCCTTCCCACAATCCTGAGGAGCAGATATTATTACTCTCACTGTTATCTGGGGAATAAAAGACTGTAAGTCCACGTCTCACTAGGTCAAAGGCTTTGTGTATCTTTGGACCAGTTGCAAGGCCTCCGTTCTGAGCTGGGCCTCCTCACTGTCAGCAGCCACCCCTTCCTCAGCCTCAGGCTACACTGAGCATTCTGGACCTTCTAGTTTTTCTGCTGTCAGCCTTCAGGATTCACTTCTGCCTGAGCCAAGAAAACATGGTTCCTTCTTTACCTTCAAACCACAGATCACTTTGTCCAAGTTGTTTTTCTGATGTTGGCTGTCATCAAAAGCGTTCCTGGTGCTATCTCTGACAACTCTAGGATAATGGTAACTGACAAACTTCTATTAATTGAATCTCTTTTACCAATTAAACTAAAAATCTTCTAGGTCAAGTATCACAGGTCTTTTCCTCTGTGACCCAAAAAGTTTATGTGTGTGGTTTTTTCTAAGCCTTGAAGACGATTTACTGAAGGTCTAAATTTACAAGGATACAGTGATATTGCAAGTAACAGATTGCCTGAAACAAAAAATCCTGAGCAGGAAGACAGCTGTGCTCAGAAAACAAAACAAAACAATAACCCCAAACGTAATAAATCACATACTGCAGAACCTTATTGAGATAGCTGACAAGATTGACTTCAGGCACAGTTTTCTTCTGTTCCATACGATTTAAACAGGACAAAGTTGTCTGTTTAACCACCCATTTGACCATTTACCCATCCATCTAGATCATAAACCCAACCGTTCAGCCACCTATCCATCCATCCATCCATCCAAAAACCTACCCATGCATATATGCATCCATCCATCCATCCATCCATCCATCCATCCATCCATCCATCCATCCATCCATCCGTCCATCCAACCATCCATCCACCCACCTATCTATATAGCCCATAGGTCCATCCATCTATCCAGCCAGCCAGCCATCTATCTAAGAATCCATCCATCATCTATCTATCTTTCCATCATTAATTGAGAAACTTCTCAAGGGCCTATATACTTATCTCTGTCAAGTAGAGCTAGAAAGACAAATTAGATATTAATCTAGCCCATATGTCTGATGAGAGAGCCAGACAAGCAAATTATAAAGCAGATGATAATAATAGCTGTCACTTAAATAGTGGGAGATCAGTTATGTGTCAGGCACTGTTTTAATTATATTGCACGAACTATTTTATTTAGTCTTCACAATAACCTTATGAGGCAGTATTATCCCTGTTTACAGTTGAGAAAAGTGAGACTCAGAGAGGTTAAGCAACTTTCTCACATTTACATAGTCGTTAAGGGGTATGGCAGGGATTTGAATCCAGGGAGTCTGATTTAAAGAGCCTATCTTAATAGCTATTATATTATCTTCTGTCATGATAACTTGTATGATGAGTCAAAACAGGGAGC